AGGGTGTCACTTCTGTGACAGCACAGAGGCATGAGCATCTGTCTTCATCTAAAGATGAGCTTATGAAACTCTGTCCTGAAATATCCAATATCTCTGTTTGGGGGGGGGGCGGTTCCATTTAGGATTAGGGGACACATCTACCCCGATAAAAATATTTATTAGCATGATGAAAGTTGGAACAGAGCTGCATTGCATGGGGATGGTGTGTCTCTGTGGGTTAGGACTTTGTGCCTGTGATCGGAAGGTTGCTGGTTCGAATCCTGTGGCTGGCAGGTAGACCAATGTCACTGTTGAGTCCTTGAGCAAAGCCTTCAACCCCAATTGCTCCAGTGACTGGTTGACCCTGCTCCCTGATCCTCCCTTCCGCGCTGCTATTGGCTCACATCTGACCGCACCAGCTACCTGCGGTCCCTCCCCACCCCCCCACGGCTGTTCATGCGCCCTCCTGCCCTAGTTCACAGGCACAGCGCGTCTCCCTCCGAGAATCGGCCGTCTCGGGGCACAAGTCGGCGTTTCCACTTATCGGTGCATTCGCTGTGGTTTGTGTTACTAGGCGCCGAGACGTTACCTTACACAGGGGATTACGAATGAAAAAAGTGATTTTGAAAGTGAGAGAGACAGCCTATCTGCTGCCAGGAATCGAGCGCGTTGTTAGTCATTAAATTATTACTGCATACTCATACCGTGACCCGGGGGTGCCGTTAGGCATATTTTACGAGGGCGTTAACCCCCCCCTAAAATGTTTTTTAACCTCCCCAAATAAATGTACATTAATTAGTTTAGATAATGTGGATCATTTCCGTCAGACCCCACCTGATGAAGACCTCCCCCCCCCCTCTCTGATGCTCCTGCTGTGAACATAGATGTAAAATCACATGGCTCTGCTATGAAGGTTTTCCTAGTGGTGTGACTGGACTGCGGGTAGCCGCGTGCGGGTCTCAGCCCGACTGGACTGCGGGTAGCCGCGTGCGGGTCTCAGCCCGACTGGACTGCGGGTAGCCGCGTGCGGGTCTCAGCCGACTGGACTGCG